ACCGTCGCTCAACTCGCGACAAAACGGATCATCCTTGCTTGGAATTGAGTAACTCTTGTCTGCTGAAGCGATTCCCATTCTTGCAAAGGTGAGTCTGGTATCGTTCTCACTCCTGGAATGCAGCCATCACATTTGCTCGAGTCGGCGTCATGTGTTCCCTTCCCGTTCGCTCCCCCTCTCGGTAAGGTTGTGCTCAGTTGCGTATCAACTCTTTCTCGAGTGAGGGGGGGGGGGGGGGGGCAAACGACCTACCTGATTCGTAAGGCGGGATATGTATATATATATATATATATATCGGGAAAACATAAAAACGAACCCTTTACTATACACATACATCTTTCCCTTATTCATTAACGAGGGTCTCGTACTGGCAGACTTGGTGCCGTTAGGTTGTATACGAGGGACTATTGCTCAGCTGCCAGCTCGTAATAAGTTTTCACATGCTACGTGACGCCAAACAGGCTCATAAAAAGTGTGCTACACTCATCGTAATGGCTACTCGTGGTGCTGACTTACACTATCACGTTTAAATTCACATATAAAACCCAATAAAGTGGCTGGGGGGATAGTCGCCGTGGTAGCTCAGTGGTAGAACATCGAAAGCGTTATTGGAAGGTCGCAGGTTCGGTGGTTCCTGCTCATGGCAAGTTATCTTCTCACCTACTTTTCTCTGTGAGAATATATTATATATTATATATATATATCTATTATATATATATATATATATATAATATATATATATATATATATATATATATATATATAAAATTGCCACATTCCATTTCCCAAGTTTTCGTTATCGTCCCAAAACACCACACGATTCTCAGCGCAAACCACAGCTGCAGACCATCGCTCAACTCGCGACAAAACGGATCATCCTTGCTTGGAATTGAGTAACTCTTGTCTGCTGAAAGCGATTCCCATTCTTGAAAAGGTGAGTCTGGTATCGTTCTCACTCCTGGAATGCAGCCATCACATTTGCTCGAGTCGGCGTCATGTGTTCCCTTCCCGTTCGCTCCCCCTCTCGGTAAGGTTGTGCTCAGTTGCGTATCAACTCTTTCTCGAGTGAAGGGGGGGGGGGGGGCAAACGACCTACCTGATTCGTAAGGCGGGATATGTATGTATATATATATATATATATATATATATATATATACCAGCTTTTCGATGGCTGCATTTTTTATGGAGGCAAAACTGCTGTAGGGACGTTCAAGAACCACAGGTGGTGGTAGAAATTTCCGGAGTCTTCCACTACGGCATCTCTCATAATTATACGGTGGTTTTAGAACGTTAAACAGCACATACCAATCAATCAACTGACGATCATTCAGTCAGCATGCACGTACACTAACCACTACACCCCACCACGCTACAGAACTGTCTGAAATGAAACAGGCAATCCAAGTTGAATGAAAACTAACTAGCCCGACTTACAATTAGGCCTTCATTGTGCAAAAAAGCACTGTCTTTCACCTTTTTTCTGGTCCGGTGGTTGAAGCTGCGGGTTGAGCTTAGAATCTTAGCTTCCAACTGTGCTCGAGTCCACTGCTTTATTCTTCGCTACTTTGCAAACTGCTGCCATCGCTCCTAGTTACCGTAAGCAAGGCTGATCAAATTTATCAGAGACCAAAGCGTAAACCTCTTCCTGGCGCTTGTAGTACAGCAGAAATAAACCATTCAAAACGTTTCGTCAAAATAACCGACTCAAAGCAGTTTCGATAAAGCAGCGATGACGCTACTCATTTTTGGTGAAAGAAAACAACTTTCTAGAAGCAGCGAATGCTCTGACTGGTAGAAAAAATGGTTGCTTGTTCCCATCCCTAACAGAGCGAGCACAAGACGCTTTCGCACCTTGTACTGTAGCCCGCTTTGCAATGCTATACCGTAAGATATTGTGGCAGCTTGGGCTAATTGGTATGACATGACGATAGTTATAACACGAGAACAGAATGACGACGCAAGACAAGAAGGACCTTCGTGTCATTCTTGTCTCTGTGTCGTCATTCTGTTCTCACGCTATAACTATCGTCAGGCTATACAGTAAAGGCGCGAATGAGTCGCACAGGTAGCCCACACCGCAAGAAACATTCAAGGGAAATCGTCACAACAGAAATTTAGGAAAAATTTTATTTTATTAAAACATTCCCTGGTAACATTTTCATTTCCTCGTAACAATATAATTGAGTGAATACTGTGGTGAAGGAAAACTTCGCCTTGTTTGTTGGTTTCCTCAGCGTGCAGCTGACAGTTACTATATACTGCCAGAAATAGGGGCTCATCCCCCCCCACCCCACTTTTCTCAGTGAGGTAGCTCGGGCCACCTCCACCCCCCCCCCCCCTGCTGCTACACTTATGGGTGTGCTCGCCGGGCCTTCAGCCTTTGCTCCACCCGGAGGCGCTGCCACCGCCGTTTTTAGCGCAGAGTTTTTCAAAGCACTGGGGTTTAGGGACCGGGAAGGCAAAATGGACTTTAAGCGGGTAGAATTACCTAAAAGGAGGTTATCTGATTAGTGGCTAAAGTCAAGGCACGAGTGAAAATTTAACCCTTCACTGCAAAGTACGAGTCCTCAACCTCACCATTTAAAGGGAAAAAATCTACCTTTTGGTTCACTAAGTATTACGGCTTGGTGGCGTCAACCACCGCCCGATCTAAAGGGTACATCCATATCAATGCATATCAATCCAGCCCGCGTCGCTCGCTTGCGCAAAGGCACCGCTAGCAGTTGTCGCACCGAGATCCAGGCTCCCTATAGACACTGGGGCACGAAATAGCGCGTCAGCTACCACGTTAGTGCTCCCCTTACGATACCGCACTGAAAAGTCATAATGCTGTATTAGGAGAGCCCAGCGCGCCAGCCTCCTTGCAGGCTCACGGAGCCACAACAGCCAGCTCAGCGCACTGTGATCTGTTTGCACCACAAACTTCGTCCTGTCAACGCAGACATCAAACTTCCGCAGCGCAAACACGATGGCATGGCACTCCCTCTTGGTCACGGAGCAATTCTTTTCTGCGGGTATCAACGAGTGGCTGGTAAAGGCTAACGGCTGCAACACAGCAGTGCGGTGACCTCTATCTCACCTTTGCGGAAGATCACCGCAGGTTCAGGCTTAGCGAGCCACAGGGCCGTGCCTCTGTCACCTACTCACGTGTAGCGCACCGCTCCGCACGCGCTCAACTAACAAAGCGTTTAGCGCGGCACGGCAGAACAGTGTTCGATGAACAGCAATACACAAACACTTGATTGCCTTTGGCGGAACCCCGAAACAACAGCAAAACGTCCACTCCCGGGGCGCGGGGAGCAAAGGCATGTGGACGTTCACGATAAAGGGGAGACCACGAGCAAGTCGCAATTGGCGATGGCAAGCTTTGACACGCCGGTCGGGAATAGGTCCCTCGCGGCAATGCTGCGCACTCTCACGATGACCACTGGGTCTGGTCGCGAGAGTTATGGCAAACCTCGTACGCGTGGGCCTACGGCAAGTGCGGCTTGGCGTGGTGCGATCACTTGAAGGACTAAACACCGAGGTTTGGCTTAGCGGACGGTACCGAAGCTAACACTCAGGTATACACACACCTGCGGGGGATGCCTAGACACTCGGGCAGGCTACATTCTGGGTATTCCTAAAGGGGACATGGACGAAAGAAAACCACGTGCTTATTGGGTGCTGGCCAATGAAGGAGAGGCAATTTTCGACACGCACGTGTCTCGGTCTCGCTGATTCTCGCAGCCACCGGGAACAAGCGCCACGCCAACACCACCTAGACTTTGGCCACGCCCACTCGTGGCGCCATCTGTCACCACGCGCCATTACCAGGGCTCGGAAAAGGAAAAGGAGGGACCATACAGCGGAAGGCCCGCGAAATGGTCGTGTGCGCGCTCAGATCCACACAATATATACATATACACACATACGTGAATGACGGTGGTGACGCAAAAACCAGCCGAGACCGTCCATATAAATTCTATCGCAATAATTGCGAAATGCTTAATTCAGTGACACGCGGAATTGCATCCACTGCTTAACACCGGGGCCTCATGTTCCAGTTTTCGCTGGTTACCCCTTTCTATGGTGTGCTTGAGCGGGGATTTTTTAGTAACCCATGTACAAGTTTATGCATACAAGCAATGTCTGCGAACTTCTTTTTTTTTTCTTATTCAGTATGGAGTTTCTCTTCTACACGACACCCCTTTAAAAAAAGAAGTGCCGCTTGCATGGAATTTAGCTTTTTTTAGTCTTGCTACGCGTTTCGCAAAAGTAGAACACAGCACGTGCTTGCAAGACTTTTCTAGAACAAATTTTATACAAGTGAAGACGATGCCCCTTTATACCACCTTTGAGTGGGCTGATTTAAAACCATGAACTGGTTTAACAGATCTTGGCTCATAACATAAGATAATATGCGAACTCTTTTACCAGAGAACTGCAGAGTCATATTTTGAAACCACTGATGTACATAGCAGCTGCGTTAAACACAGTCAACCTATTAGAAAGAACATATGAAAAACTAGTAACATCTTGGAGAGTATGTTCTCTGTCTTTTTTCTTTTGATTTCTTTGATGTGCTGCTTTCGTCAATTATCAAAATCCTCATTGAAAAAGGTTTTGATTTTCTTGTAAACCTTGTAAATTGCAATTTTGCGACATGTATGCCGAAAATAGGCACAATTTATATATGAATGCTGGATTTTATTTTATATTGGCCAATTTTTTTCCTTTCACTGCACAGCTTTTGATCTGCCTGTTCTTGTACCCTTGGTGATTCCGAGGTCGGCGGGGGGAAAAGCGGCACGCGCGCGAAAGTGTGTTCGCACCCGTAGTGCACCGCCGTTACCCTTTCTGGCTTTTTCAGAACACGCGCTCGGTTTATCTGCACCGCACTATGCGGCCGCGAGAGATGAAAGAGTTTTGCTAGAGAAATATCCTATAACGAAATCTTCGAAACACACAAACGATTGCGCAAGGATAAACCTATGACCGACTCTAGTTGAAATACTTGCCTCAAAAACGTCATCCGCATGGTCGAGCCAATGCTCCCTGGATTCCTTGGCGCGCATCTTCCGCGAGAGCGCGTGCTGCGAACGAGAGCAGTGACATATGAACATATCAGGAGTTTGGGCCACGTGCACAGGCCAGAGATGAATAAGGCTGCAGAGCGCTGTAAATGCAAAAGCATGGTTTACTGGTAACGTCCAAGTGCAAGGCGGTGATAAAGAGGCCTAAAACATTGCATGCAGTAGCAATAAATTTGCGAAATGAAGTTACCCGCACGCAATGAGCAGTAATGTTGGTGGAAAAGAATTTCAAAATGCTAGAAAGTCTCTGCACGACGCTGGGCCGCTCAAAATGCCTGCACGCAACTGTGCACCTACAACCCCATCATAGAATCCACTTAATAGAAAACATTTCGATTCATTCATTAATGGATAATGCCCCTCCATGACCCCTGCTTGCAATTTCCTTGTACCATACAGTCCTTAATGACACATTTTAGCCACTAAATACGACAAACACAGAGTAAAGAAACACACAATGACAAGGAGAAGTGGCACTTCCAACTAACGTAGACTGAGCGCTAACCCAGAATTGAATATGCAACATACAGGCATGCGCAGTCTTAACTCAGCCTTACACTAACCAGCTATCGAACAATATCTTTCTAAATACGTACAATGTCACCGGCCGTAAGCTGATACACAATTCTCCTTCTTTTTTTAATGTTATAGGCTTCCTTCAACTCAAGCCCAGTTTTATACGCACTTCTACACAGAATATCGATCTCTTTAAAACGTGGTTCACACTTGCAGGCTTTGCAATGCATAGGCAAATGCACGAAGCCATACTTCATTAGATTTAATTTACGATTCCTAATTCATTCATTATTACAGCGCCTAGTGTGCCCGGTGTAAGAGTTTCCACAAAAAAAAAGGGAAATTTCAGAGCCCAAAAAAGTGGACCGCTGCTCGCAAGTGTACACTGCGGGATACCAGAGGCTAGCATGTCCCATACTTAGCACACTTTACAAAAAAAGAGAGAAGAAAAATCGTCTTGTATGTTTTCTTTGGCTCTGTGGTCTGTTGCCTTCGTATGAGAGTAGCGTAGCATATCGTTGGGAATGTACAGATATTACATGGCTGACATACGACACCTCTGTGAAAGCCCGTTATTACAAGATTTTTTGGCATGCCTGCGTATAAATAGAAAATATTTGCATTGCGCTTTCAGGCAGTTTTACTTGAATTAGTGCAATTATAGCTGCATACGAGCGATATGACTCACCCATATGCATTGTAGTACGCGCACGACGACGTTTCCAGCAGGGGGCACAATGCGATACAGAGGCTTTCCGACCATGAAAAGGACTGAGAAAAAGTACGGGAGGAGTCAGTGGAAGAACTGCGCTCCATGATGACACTTACCCAGTGCCAGCACCATCAGAGCCGCCGGAACCCCGAAGGCCAGCGGGAAGCAAAACATCTGTCCCAAACATCGTTGCACTGCGTAACATGACACGATGGAAAGTGTCTAAGCAAAAGTAAAAGTATCCACGATGTAAAAATGGTACAGACATATTCAATGTGTAAGGCTTGATGGTGGACAAAGAGAAAGAATACACAGAGCGCCAGCATGAACTGATCAATATATATATATATATATATATATATATATATATATATATATATATATATATATATATATATATATATATATATATATATATATATATATATATATATATATATATATATATATATACGGGCCTGTTGCAGCGACAGGCCCTGATGGTGCAATTCAGCTGAAGGAGCCTATTATTTTTATTATTTATTCGGTACTTACAGCGCCAGAGGCAGTAGAGACGGTGCAGAAGAGGTATACAGCAAGCCTGGAGAGCTCAATAGTTGTGATACATAAAGCCGGGACAATCTTAATAACAACAACAATAGCTGGAGCAGATTGACCACATACGTAATTCAAAGCAGTGTACAATCAATGTAAAACACACACACACACACACACACACACACACACACACACACACACACACACACACACACACACACACACACACACACACACACACACACTTCCAGGTTTAGTCGCTTCAACAATAGGTCTATATGACTGCTATTGCCATAAAATGATTGAGCGACTACCACGAAAGTGTGCCGTCTTTGGAATATATGCGGTGGAAATGTTTGCCAAAAGATGGACGTGCCATCGACATTCTCGAGTCAAGAAGGATCGCCGAGTGTTCTAAAGTACGGGAGTAAAGTTTTTCATTCTTCTATTCTCGAATTCCTTTATTCTCGAAACCAAGAGTCCAGCGACTTAAAATGAACGTTTCAACAAAGTGCTTGCTTAACATAATACCTAAGGGAGTACCATCTAACTTGACTAACGACTGCACTTTATAAACAAGCACCTGCCGTCATTGATCTGGCCCCGTAGAAGCCAACAGGTTCTTGTAGAAGGCCTGGGGCTATTTCAACCTGAGGCCTTGCATGAACGCCATGAGAAGAGCTACACTAAACATGTAATTAAGATGAGTGTTCGCGCTTTAAAAGCACGACAACTTTTTCCGTGGAATATTTCTTCGTCGAGAAGGAAATCGAGTGCGGCGATTCCGTCTCCTGCCTCGCTGGAAGCTTCACCCGCCGGAATCGAAAGAAATCTTCTTTACATTAGTATTCGTCCAACCTAATTACGTTGCAATCGCACGATTTTATTCCTGGTCTGATTGTTTTAAAGTCCTTTCCCGACAAGACAGGTTTTCGTCCCAATATCCGCTTGTGGCTCTTTCTTGCACAAAAGTGTGCGCCCATGCCTAGGCTCCAGCTTCACTATGTTATCGTAGTGGGTGACTTCAAGCTGATACGATAACATTTGAAGAAGACAAATTGTAACGGTTAGCAGCACTGTTCATTTTTGTACCCACCTCGCAGAATCGGTGTTATGAATGTCGACAGCAAGCTTCCAGCGTTGATGGAGAGGTAGAAAAGCGAGAAGAACTGCTCCAACTGTCTCTCCTATAATGAAGAAAAATTAGCACACTTACAATACATCAATTATTCATTGTGGTAAGCCATCAGCGCTTTAGCCGACGACAATGAATTTGGATCACCATAGCTCTATGCACCACTTGCATCGTATAGATAGAGCACCTCATTGGAGACTTCTCTGCCGCACTGGGCGCATCTATCCTGCACGAGCTCTTTGTTGCAGTGATTGTGGTAAGCCATCAGCGCTTTAGCCGACGACAATGAAGTTGGATCACCATAGCTCTATGCACCACTTGCGTCGTATAGATAGAGCACCTCATTGGAGACTACTCTGCCGCACTGGGCGCATCTATCCTGCACGAGCTCTTTGTTGCAGTGAATACCTCAGCAGGTACAGATTATTCACAGCATATTGTGATTCATATCGCCCGACTTATAGGGACAAACGACTCCAAAGGTCCGCGATATAGACCAATTGACCGCTCAGCTGAACTCACCCAAAGATCACCGACAACGTAGCCTGTCACTGCAGCTAAGCCGCAGCCGTGACGGGTCACCGAGTAGCCACTGTGGCATGGGTGGTGGAGACTTGCTAGTGCGACCAATCTTACACTCACATTATTGCATGCTAATGTGAGGAAACACAACACTATAAACTAATATTCTTGGTCCACAAAAAAGGACTTCGTTCAATAGAACACCCTAAACGCCTCGTTTCTAAAGTGCACAGAACCTCTATTTCAAGAACAGAAAATCATGGAGATTCACAACATGAACAAATATAAGCTACCGAGAACATACCAAAAATGCTACATTATGGTAAGGACAGAACTATTTGAACTAATAACAAGCATTGAAGCAATTAAATTTTCTATACTTCCCGATATCACCTTTCGTATCAAGTTCCTTTTTCACATACCCATTATGAGAAAAAGTGATTATGTACTCGCAACCACAGTAAATGAACTCGACCAAAAACATTCTTAACATTCCTAACAAAATGTTACGAGATCTTTTCATGCAAATAATTTGGAACAGCTGATGATTATGCGCAGTAGTTTATAACGTACATGTTTTTTTCTTCTTCATTATGCACTGCTTTTTTATGAGCTGCCTTTGCAATCCGCTTTTTTTATTGCAACACTGTCGAAAAAAATCTTTTATAACAACTTGACATATTCCACGGACCTTGGGAATATAATTATGCGAAGCCTGTGGAAGGAAGGTTGGAAATTTGCAACCTTCCTTCCATGTTGCAAATTTTTCATTTCATCATCCTAATTATCATCATTAGCCTGACTACGTCCGCTGCAGGACAAAGGCACCTCCCATTTTCCGCCAGTCAACTCGGTCCTGTGCTTGCTGCTGGCACCTAATACCCGAAAACTTCTTAATCTCATCTGCCCACTCAATTTTCTGTCTCCTACTAACCCGCTTGCTTTCTCTAGGTATCCAGAGATTTACCCTTATTTACCAGCAGTTGTCTTTCCTATGTACTAGATGCCCGGCCCATATCAATTTCCTCGTCTTTATTTCAGCTATGATATCCTTAACGCCGGTTCGTTCCCTGACCTACTATGCTCTCGTCTTCTCTTCTAAGGTTACGCCTATCATTTTCCTTTTCATCGCTCGCTGCGCCGTCCTGAATTTAAGCTGAACCCTTTTCATAAGTATCCATATTTCTGCTGCGTTGCTAAGTACCGGCAAGATGCAGCTGTTATATACCTTCCTCTTGAGGGATAGTGGCAATCTACCAGTCACAATTTGAGGCTTCTTGCCAAGTGTGCTCCAAACCATTCTTATTCTTCTAGTTACTTTGATATCGTGGTTCGGCTCTGTGGTTATTACTTGCCTTAAGTAGACGTAGTCATTTACAATTTCAAGTGCACTAATGCCCATCTCGAAGCGCTGTTCTCTTCCGAGGAGGTTGTACATTATTTTCGTTTTCTGCAGATTAATTTTAAGACCCACCTTTCTGCTCTCCTTGTCTAACTCCGTAATCATGAGTTGCAATTCGTCCCCTTAGTTACTCAGCAATGCAATGTCATCGGCGAAGCGCAAGTTACTAAGGTATTCTCCATTAACTCTTACCCCTAACTGTTCCCATTCTAGGCTTCTGAAAACTTCCTGTAAGCACGCGGTAAATAGCATCGGGGAGATTGTGTCCCCCTGTCTTACACCCTTCTTCATTGTTATTCTATTGCATTCTTTATGAAGCACTATGGTAGCAGTTGATCCCCTGTAGATTTCTTCCAGTATGTTTATATATGCCTCATCAACCCCCAGATTTCTCAGTGTCTGCATGAATGCTGATATTTCTATTGAATCAAACGCCTTCTCGTAATCTATGAAGGCTATATACAGTGGTTGGTTGCATTCTGAGCATTTTTCTGTTTCCCGATTGATAGTATGAATGTGATCGATTGTTGAGTAGCGTGTTCGAAATCCTGCTTGTTCCTTTGGTTGATTGAATCCTAATGTTGTGTTAATTCTGTCAGCAATTACCTTTGTAAATAGCTTCCATACGATGAAGAGCAAGCTGATCGGCCTGTAATTCTTCAAGTCCTTGTCATCTTCTTTCTTATGTATTAGGATAATGTTAGCGTTCATCCACAATTCTGGTCCTCTTCCTGTGAGGAGACACTTCGTAAAGAGGGTGGCTAGTTTTTTTAGCACAATCTCTCCTCCGTCTTCAGCAGATCTGGTGTTACCTGGTCCTCACCAGCAGCTTTGCCTCATTGCATTCTCTCCAAGGCTTTTCTGGCTTCTTCTATCATACTGGTGGGATTGCATCTGGGATACTGCTAGTTTTTATATTAAGTTCGTGGTTGTGCCAGCTACTGTGCAGCTAGCTCTCTGTAAACGTCCTCCACTATTTCAACTATCTATCTATATTGGTAGTTACTTTGCCTTCCTTGTCCCTCAGTGCATACAGCTGGTTTCTACCTATCTCAAGTTTCCTCTTCACTGCTTTGACGCTTCCTCTGTTGGGCGGCTGCATTTCCGATGGAGGCGAAAATGTTGTAGGCCCATGTGCTCAGATTTGGGTGCACAATAAAGAACCCCAGGTGGTTAAAATTTCCACAGCCCTCCACTACGGCGTCTCTCATATAATCATATGGTGGTTTCGGGATGTTAAACCCCGCATATCAATAAAATCAATCAGCTTCCTCCGTTGTTCGGCACACGTTCAATTCTCTTCATGTTATACCTTTTTACACCAGATACCTTACGCTTATTAGTCAATTTCGAAAGCTCTGCCAACCCTCCTTGGTCTATTGCACTTGAGGCTTTCATGTTTTGACGCTTCTTAATCTGATTCTTCGTTTACAGCTTGCCAGTGTCTCGTTTAACTATCGTACCTCTAACTTCCACTGCACACACACTCCGTAATGATACTCGCCAGATTATCATTCATTGCGTCAACGCTAAGGCTGGTTTTCTCGATAAGAGCCGAGTACCTGTTCTGAAGCGAGACTCTGAATTCCTGAAAATTTTCATTTAGTGACACGTTATAAAATGACGCTCAATATACGGACAGATGTTGCACGCGTAGACGTATATGTTTAACAGTTGCAGATTTTGATATAACCAGTTTGAGCTTGCGCAACGCAGCCAACAGAAACATGAGTATTAGCAACACCAGAAGCGATAAGCTGATATGAAGCGCTTGTGCTCGTGAGGATAGTAGCTCTGGACACTGCTAAATGAATAAACTTCAGCGTTTATCCCCGCCACGGTGTTCTAGTGGCTAAGGTACTCGGCTGCTGACTCGCAGGTCACGGGATCAAATCCCGGCTACGGCGGCTGCATTTCCGATAGAGGCGGAAATGTTGTAGGCCCGTTTGCTCAGATTTGGGGGCACGTTGAAGAACCCCAGGTAGTCTAAATTTCCAGAACTCTCCACTAAACATCTCTCATAATCATATGGTGGTTTTCGGACGTTTAACTCCACATATTGTCATCAACTTCAGAGTTTAGCGCCTAACTACAATAGGTGGACAGCGAAATCGTGGCTCACGCAAAGGATTGTGGGCAACGGTGCCCGTCTGCATAAAAGTCCGGTTCGAGGTGTGACGTCGTAGGAGAATTGACCCGTGTCGTCACGTTCTGCATGTTCCACGCTGCACTCGCGGTGCCCTTTTATCACAAATTGATGCATAATACTTTGGAGTGCAACACATCTTAGTTGAATAGTGAATGCAGTCACTACGATATAGTTATAACCTTGCGAACGGTCTTTTCTGTTCAAGCGTGATGTAGCTCCAGACACATGTTTGTTGTTTTGTAGCAAAGCGTGTTATCGTGCATGTCTTATCGCAGACAAAACATCAGCGCATCGTAGCATTACGAAATATCAGCCCCTTTGATTCCATGTTGCTCACCTGTAAAACTATTTGTTTCCTTTTTTTTTTGCTGCTAAGATACTATTCTGAATTCGACATAGTGAATGGCAATAGTAAACTGTTCCTTACTCTAAAGATGAAATGCGCGCTTGTTATTTTGTTGCTTCTTTTACGCCTTTCTATCTCATTTCGCGTGAGATGTCATTTCCTCACGGACTCGGACATTTTGTTTTAACGCATGGCAAATTCTACGCACTCAGCATACAGAATACAACCTATCGGCACTTCAAGCCTGCAAGTCTGACATAATACGGGCGCCATACGTCCACAATACCACCAATAACCCTTTACACACTCAGCGGTTTCCATAAATTTGGCAGACAGACGGTGATGCTGAATATGCAATGTAAATACACGATAACGTCGTACTTGAGGAAAGTGCGCGTACTTACGTTGTCATCATACGTACATTGACATTTGGGTGTTTGATGTGTGAGTGATTTTCAAGTGGTCATCGTTCCTTCTCAAAAATACTAAGTCCAGATGGTTTTGCAAAACGTTACCACGTGTGTCAGAAAATAGCCGTATGCTGACCTCGAAAGCCAACTCTAACTATTCTTCATGTTTGCCCATTTTCACTTCTGGTTTTTCGTTGAAATGCGCGAAATATCGTTTATCCAA